ACACATACATACATACATACATACATATATACGTATACATACACACACACACACTTTATTCTGACAAATAAATTAAATGTATACAAATGAAAAAAGATGTATGCTAAAAATCTTTAATGAGGCTACTAGAAACATACATAACATACTGTTCCCCCTCATTTGTACATCTTGTTCTAAGTGTTTGAGGCATCTGCAATTCAATTTGAATACCTCCCAAGCGAGGATACGCAAGTGGCAACAGTGTCACTTACACTTTGTTGCAATAGCAGCCCCTCGTGTATCACAAGCTGCAGCGAGTGTGCAAAACAGGCCAAGTCAACGATCCATCCATTGCTTTATTCATATTATTATTCATATTATTCGCGATGTCTTGCGCAATTGTGTGCATTTTATTGGGATTTTCCACTAAACGCTACTCCCACCTCTCAAAATTTTGATTTTATAAAGATTGAAAATTGCTGTGCTAATAGTTGTTGTTTCAAGCATAAAATACTCCCAGATCGTCACCCTCTTATCCGATGTTCTTACGCTCCTCATACTGCAAAAGGTATGCACATCACAGCAAGATAGAAGTCACTGCGCTCACACCCACTGAGTGGCAAAAAAAAAAACTAAGTGGCAGCGTTAGCATTCTGCTTGAATACTGAAAAAAACATCTAAAATGGGAAAGCTGCAATTGATTGTACAAATAGATTTAACACGAAACAGGATCGTTTTACATACTGCCAAAAACTATGTGTAAAATAAGTAAGTGTTGGACATGGATCGGTCACATATGGCTGATACGTGATCAATTTATAATAGGTCGAATATTGGATCGGTGCATCTCTAATTAGCATGGCCTGCCTGCCAGTCACGTGGCCTGTCTTACATTAGTAGGCCTGCCTGCCAGTCACGTGACCTGTGTTACACTAATGCGGCCCGCCTGTCCCCTCCCTCATCATCTTCCTCCTCACCTGTAGTTGAAGTGCATTACAGCCTGGAGGGCGCTACCCCCGCCGGTGTTGATGTCACCCTCGAACCCGGGAAGCAGCGGGGTCACCACGTACACGCGATACTTCTTGTTCTCCCTGTGATGGTAGGAGAAAGCGTCACATGACAGAGGTGGGGCAAAGTGAGAGAGAGCAGACTGGGAGGGAGACGGCAGACAGAAATCAGGAAGTGGCTCCTGGTTAGCCGAGACACGCACTGACCTGTGCGCCTTGATGATCCGTCCCACGATGGCGTCTCCGATTTTGTTGAACACGTGCTTGTTGTCAGCACAGCTGATGAAGAACTGGTTCTAAGGAAAGGGACCACGAAAAGTCAGGAGCTGGGAACAAAACAGCAACGAGAAGCTCGCAGGCAGGCCAGCCGACCACTGTCCCACAATGCAGTGTGGTCCTCCGTACCTCGATGTAGATGTAGTGCTTGCTGTTAGTGATGGCATGAACGTAGGCATTATGGATGGACTCCTCCTGGTACTTGATGCCAGCTGACCAATCAGCAGCCGATCTGAGCACCTTCATGGAGACACGCTCAATTAAGGCTGTGTGTGTACGCTTGTCTGTCTGTGAGTGTGTGTGGATTAGGTTTATATTACATTGTGGACACAAAATGTCAACCAAAGTGTAATAAAAATTTGTTATACTGACGTAGGGACCATTTTTCAGGTCCCCACAAAGACCTGTGAATGCAATCAAAAGACACCAAAAGTCTTGTATTTAGTTTGGTTACTTATGGGTAAAGTTAGGGCTGGGTAGGAGTTAAGGTTGTCATGTTGTGATAGAGTTTTCTCCATAGAAATGAATGGAGAGTCCCCAGAAAGATATAATTACACACCAGTGTGTGTGTGTGTGTGTGTGTGTGTGCGTCTGCACATACCTGTACTTTGGTGAGCACACAGTCCGGCACGGTGTACTTCAGTTCGCCGGCTGTGCTGTGTGATTTGGGCAGCAGGTACGGGTATGAGAGAGAGCGGTATTTGGGCTTTACGATCTGCAGGCCACAAACGAGTTAGGGATGAACACATTAAGGGAAATGCCTAAACACAGTGGTCCGAAGGAACATTAAAAACATTGGAATTCAAAAACCTGTAATAAAGAAGCAATCATGAAGGTGGATTGCATACTTAACCAGATAACCTGCCAGATTTAAGGTACATCAGTTTAAATTAACTTTATCTTCGTTCACTTACATTTAACCCATCTAGGGCAGCACAAAATCAGATATCAATATAATTGTATGCAGCATGTGCAATAATCACAAGGGCTTTAGATGATGGGTGAAACATTTGTCTGAACGCCAGCTTTTCAGTACTATACAGACTAGTAGTTTGCCTAAAATATTAATAAGATACGTATTGTGATGCCCATAAGTTAGTAATCTGTATAAATTTGCCATATCCTTATTTTTAATAAACAAATTGGACTAATAAACTGCAAAAAGTACCACCACACCACTGATATCTTTTTACCTTTTTTTATCCACAATATCTTGTCTTTTAAAACATGTTGTGGCTGTTGAGCTGTTCCTTTCTTCACCGCCACTTCAGTGCTTATCTCTTCCATGATTTACCTAAACAATCGCATGTGGCCTGCTCCGCTAACTGAATGTGATAAACATCAGGATACGCTGAATTTATACAGATTATTAACTGGCAGAGACTCAAACTCTGGTCCCAGAGGTGTGAGGCAACAGTGCTAACAACTCCACCACCAGGTCACCCCATATTTATCCCAGACTGCATTAAATTTGAGAAGTTATCCAACGAAGCAAAAAATCCTGCTCCATAAAACAGGCCCTAGCAACAAGCACTAAGAAAAACTCACATCAGACACCAGAGCAGGCTCAGTGTCTGTATGCATCCATGTCTGTGTCTGTGTGTGTGTGTGTGCACGTGTGTGTATGTGTGTGTGAGCGTGAGTGTGAGCGTGTGTGTGTGTGTGTGTGTGCGCGTGCACACATCTTTCCAGGAAGTTCCAGGAAGGATTAACCCCGACCACAGCCTAACCTTGGTGAAGTTCCAGCGCTGGATGAAATGCCGTGCCACATCGCGTGCCGCCTTCCCATGAACGACCGAGGCGATGTCATGCCAGGGCATGCGGGGAGTCGTGTGTCTGTCGATGAAGTCTAAAGACAGAGTGAGGCTGGGTCACACTCAGGGAGGGGGATTAGCAGTGACCAGATTCACATAAACATCTATCTGCTGGGGCAAAGACATTCTGGAACACTTCAGAAGAAAGTCCAACTACCTGGACGGGAGCGTCCGTTTTGATAGCCCGTTGTGATGATAGACAGCTAGCCACCAATGCCTCTATGGCTCTATGGGCTGCCTTAAAAATGGCCAGAAGGTGGCAGCAGATACACCACTTTGGAATCAAAGCTCCCAGTCTCAGTTCCCTGTGGGCCTTGGCTTATGGACCGCACCACCTCAACACTCCTCAAGCCCTAATAAATACCTCCAGGACAGGATTGGCCTGGAGGGAGGTCACTCACCATCAAAGGGCTTGTCCAGCTGGATCCAGTCTTTGTGCACAAAGTTACAGTAGTCCTTCCCATGCCAGAAGCGTGTGTTTCCAATGAGCTGGCCCATGCCTGTCTGCAGACTCTGTGTGGACCCCGTCTCTGAGGTAGGGGGAAGAGACAGTCAATAGACACCCTGGATACTCCTCTCCATCTCACCCTGGGTCCTTTTCTCTGCCTCAGTGCATCGGATTACCCTGTAGGGGGGTCCCATAGCAAATGAGGTATGTGGTTACGTTTGTTTGGACCTGAACAGCCACTGGGGGGCGTAAGACATCACAAACGCCGCTACAGTACATCAGCAAATGTGCTTTGGAAGAGTAAGTCACAGTGGTGATTCGTACGGTACAGACTCTGCTGCGCACATGTGAATGCATACATGCGTTGGTGGCTAATTAAAGCCTGTCAGGACTGAGAAGCATTGAAACAAGCCTTTAAGTGCAGCTCCTGCAGAAACTCGCAGCCGTGAAAGAAGTTGCCAGCAGCTTCTGCTTTTGGCGTTAAGTGAAGCTCACATGTTCACACCCACAGACACTGCACACTGAGGCTGACGCGGAGGTTCAGCACACACAATGAGGAGAGCAGCAGGGTGCTGAACGCGGCAAGTGGGCATCTATGAGCCTCTGAAAAAGGGCCGTGCTTGAAGTGGGCCGGTACGTACCTCTTTGTTTTTCTCTTCAGAGCACCAGTATCTAGTACTGAATAACAAGGAGAGTACCGGCACCTGGTATCGAATAAAAAGGGGAGAACTGGCACCTGGTACTGAATAAAAAGGGGAGAACTGACACTTGGTGCTGAATATCAGGGGAAGAACCAGCACCTGGTACCGAATAGAGAGGGGAGAACCGGCACCTGGTACCGAATAAAGAGGGGAGAACCGGCACCTGGTGCAGAATATCAGTGGGAGATCCGGCACCTGGTGCCGAATATCAGGGGGAGATCCGGCACCAGGTGCGGAATATAAAGGGGAGTACTGGCACCTGTGTTTCCACACTTCAAGCACTGAACAGGAGAACACTAAGCCCCAAGTGTGGCATGATGTGACATGACTTATAAGCAGTGCTGCTGGCAAGCTGGGGAAATTCCTCTTTCCAGAGCTAAATGCTGCAGCACCCTATGGTACTGGTATGGGTTTAGATCTAAGCTCCTTCTGATCTTGAAGGGTTACACCGCGCATGATCTCTGCTTAGTCTCAGATCCTAACGTGGGGTTAATTCTAAGCCCCTTTTGATGCTACAGGGCTACACCATGCATGATCTCTGCTCAGTTTCAGGTCCTAATCTAGGCTTAGATCTGACCCCCCTTCTGATAAAAAAGTCATCTGTAAAAAGTATTACAAACACACACACATAAAGCGGGAGTCTACTGGGTCTACTGAACCCAATGAAGAAGGGGGCAAAGGTGTCCCCCAATGGGAACCCCACTTTCCTAGAAGCATGAGGCAGAGGTGAGGTTGGAGAAGCACATGGTAAATCACCTGCAAAGCTGAGGGTGTCAGTGAGGGAGATTCTGCAAGCTCCCTGTTACCAATGTCTATATGCAGTTTGTGTGTGATGAGTAACCTGTAGCGCTTCTGTGATGTCCATGTACTGTCTGTGTGTTACCTGTGTAGTATACGTGTAGCCTTTCCAGCACCTCCTCAACTTTGCAGGCACTGAGGTGGAGCCTTGCACAGCCACAGCACGCAGAGGGAGGGAATACAGGGGCACAGGGATCAAGGTAAAAATCCCCAACCGCTGCCCCTCACTCACCCGCCTGCACCCCCCCCAGAGGCAGGACCACCCTCAACGCCGCCCGCCAACTTGGGATCAAATTCCTTCGGCTACTAATGGTGTTCGAACCGCCTGCAGAAAGGGAGGTTGGAGGGGTTTTCAACATGCTCCACCCACACGTGATTGAGTTGAACGATGTGAAAAAACTACCTATAAATCTTGGAATGCAGCCCTCCTGAATCCTTAACTTGCATAACTGGTAAAGTAAGGGAACCTACAATCCAAGTAAAAATGGTAGATTACCTGGATTCAAATAACATTCTGAGGGATAGCCAACATGGATTTAGGAGAGGCAGATCCTGTTTAACTAATCTACTGGAGTTCCTTGAGAAAGCTACAAGAGGAATTAAGATCAAAGCTGCAGGGATTTTAGGAACTGTAGCAGCTTGAAACGAAAACTGGTTAACAGACAGGAAGCAGTGAGTAGTTATTAGAGGCACAATGTCACAGTGGGCCTGCGTTCATAGTGGGGTACTGCAGGATTCAATTTTAGGACCACTATTGTTCCTAATTTACATTAATGATATTGACACAAATACATACAGTAAACTGGTTAAATTTCCAGATGACACCAAAGTGGGTGGTAATGGAAATACTGAACTAGCAGCACAGAGGCTACAATGGGATCTTGAATTAATTAGTGACTGGGCTGATACCTGGCAAATGAAATTTAATGTAGATAAATGCAAGGTACTCCATGCAGGGATCAGAAATATAAAGTACAGATATTTTATGGGTTCCACTGAAATTAAGGTAGCTGATTATGAGAAAGACCTCGGTGTGTATGTTGATGCTTCCATGTCCCACTCTCAACAGTGTTGGGTTACATTTCTAGGTGTGTGGAGTTTAAGTCAAAGGAGGTGTTGCTACAATTATATAATTCCTTGGTAAGACCCCACCTAGAATATTGTGTGCAGGTTTGGTCACCATACCTTAAAAAGGACATTGCTGCCTTGGAAGAGGTGCAATGTAGGGCTACAAGAATGATTCCTGGTCTTATAGGAATGTCTTATGAGGAGAGGTTAGCTGAGCTGAATCTGTTTAGCCTCAAGCAAAAGAGACTGAGGGGGGACATGATCAAGGTATAAGATTCTAACAGGTCTGGATGCTGTTCAGCCAAATGTACTAATATTAGTTTAAATACTAGAACTCATGGCCATAAGTAGAAATTAGCAGGAGAACATTTTCAAATTAATTCAAGGAAGCACTTCTTTACATAGCGTAGTCAGAGTATGGAATAGTCTTCCTGCTAGTGTAGTGGAAGCTAAAACCCTGGGTCCCTTTAAATCAGAGCTAGAAAAGTTTTTAACAATTCTGAAGTATTAGTTAAGTTCTCCCCAAATGAGCTTGATGGGCCGAATGGCCTCCTCTCATTTGTAAATTTCTTATGTTCTTATCGATTAGTGTTGCCCCCCTCCTCCCTCCAAACACACTACCCAGATCTAGTGGATTGTGATCCTGCATATCCAGAGCTCACTTGTAATCAGAACGCCTATTGGCAGACTGGACTATGTGGTCCATATCCGGCCATGTGACCATCGTCAGGAGTGTTTACACTGCACACTCCTCAGTCACACACCTTCTAAAGGGACAGTTCACAAATCTTCGTGGGACATGAAATAATAAGAAGGGGCCATTATAAAGTTTGGACATAGCTACTCAGGCTCGTGCTAGCTGCTCTGTAAAGTTAGCATAGCGAATCAGGTTCATGTGAGCCATTTTATTCTCTTTACATAGGAAACCAGCCACAACTATTCTGTATTGTTATACATATTCTGAAATACATATGCAGCAGGACTTACCAACAGGGGGACCAGGGGACAGTACAGTGTTTGTTGAGGGACAAGAAGAAAAACTATGAGAAAGTTTCTTATTGGCCACTCCAGACTAGTGCTGTCACTATCAATTATACCAATAAACAAGTAATCTACCAATTAATCTGACGATTCAACAAGTAATCATATATATATATTAGGGCTGTCGAAATTAACGGGTTAACGCGGATTAATCCATCATCATGATTAATCTGATTAAAATTTTTAACGCAATTAACCCATCTGCAGTGCAGAATGACTCAAAATCCCTGAAATGTCTCTGTCAACCAATTTCGGGCAGTTTTGGTGCGTTCCATTTGCCCTGTGAGCTCGTATTCCGAGTCAGATTCCGGAGTTTTGCAGCCGGAAGTGACGACATGCGCGCTCCCGTTTTTCGGAGATCCGAGAAATATCTCGGAGCAGCACAGAGGATCCCCAATTCAGAATCCAAGATGGCTGCGCTTTTTAATCAACAGAAGGGAAAGTTGTAGTTTTATACCATTTAAGCACTACTTCTCATTTGTGGCTCATTAAATCGGTCGCACACACTATACCGTCCAACTTATCTGTGGCCGTGTTGCTACGGAGTTTTATACATAAAGCACCGCGCTTAGTGTGTTAACTGATATTGGTAACAATGGCAATTAACCGGGCTAGAACTGGATTCCATGATTAGTCGGATTATTTGTTGGATTTACGGTAGTTCGGGCTAATTGTAAGTGAACAAAGATAAAACCATTTAAATACGACAATTTGTCCGGCTAAGCAAAAAATCTTGCTCTTTGATATGGGTCCATGGTATTGCACTTCTGTGGCAGATGGAATGAATCCGACTTGTGTTCAAGTTGTTCAATACACGTGTTAAGTGCATATATATTCCCTTTTTTCTTGAGTCCGTTTGCTCATGCAAAATGAATTGTGATTAATATAGATTAAAAATGAATGATATTTAATCGTGATTAATCTAAATTAATCCACAGCAACCCTGTGATTAATCTGATTAAAAATTTTAATCGTTTGACAGCACTAATATATATATATATTATATATATATATATAAAAAATATAATATAATATAATATAATACACTGGTACCTCAGGTTTTGAACTCATTAGAACTCGAATTTCTTAAAAGTCGAACCAACCAGTTTGAAAAAAAATTACCTAGAGCTCGATCTGAATCTCAGAAGTCAAACCGTGAATGCCGACCTAAGGTGACTTGTACGCGCAGGAAAATGAGTCACGCGGCACGTCTCTCAGTGGACACAAAGGGTAAGGCTTCAGTCTCAGCCTCGCATTAGCTGTGATAGCACCGTGCATGTTTACACT